CGTGTGCGCTGTTCGGCGTCCCCCGGCGCCGACGTGTCGGGCTCCGGCCGGGTGTTGGGCTGTCCCGGGCCCAGGACCGTGGCCGTGCGCTACACCTTTACGGAGTGGCGCTCCTTCCTGGACGTGCAGGCCGAGCTGCAGCCCGACGCACTGGGCTCCCAGCCGCCGGACGCGCCGTCGGGGGGCTCGGGATCTGAGCACGAGGATGCCGAGGAGGTGCCAGGCGCCGAGCGCTTCCACTTCTCGTTGTGCCTACCTCCGGGCCTGCAGCCCCAGGACGATGAGGACGCGGACGCACCGGGCGTCGCTGTCCACTTCGCCATCTGCTACCGCTGCGCGCAGGGCGAGTACTGGGACAACAACGCGGGCGCCAACTACACGCTGCGCTACGTGCGCCCCGAAGACGCGCTCTGAGCCCGGCGTTCCCGCCCCAGAGCACTTCTGGAGACTGGGGACCTGCCCGCGGACCTTCGGCACCCTCTCTCGAGGGACCTGCTGGGACACTTCGCCGAGAGTGGTGGATCTGGCGTGAAATGAACTTGGAGCGAAAGGCGTGGGGACGCTGAACCGTAACTCGCACCCAAAGCAAACCCAGCGAGCTAGCGCACACCGAGAGCCCGCGCAAAGCTGCGAACGTTTCCGGCCTGCCTTTTCCTCCGCCCTTCCTAGACCGTCTCTAGAACTCACAGCCTGCCTCGGAATGGGAAGAAATCCCCATCACCCCAAGCTTTCTTCAAGAAACGGCCCCGACTCGGCGCGGTTTTCAGACCTCGGGGACTGTTTTAAATCTAGATGTCGTATTTTAGCCCTTGCAGCTTGCTGAGACCCCCAGGGAAAAGACAAAGCGCCCTGCCCCGTGCACCGAGAGAAAAACGCCTGACTGTGGGCAGACGCGCTGGAAATTCACAACCCGGCCTATTTCTCAGAGAAAAGGGGATGGGGGCCGGGCCAGGCCGCCTTTTTAACTGGGATCTGGGAACTGTTTGCCCAGACTTGGCATTATTTACGAAGGCGATTGTGCACAAATGTTCTTTTAGAAAAGTAAAGGCCACTTGCACAC